AGGGAGAGAGGGAGGGGGAGAGAGAAAGGGAGAGAAAAAGGGAGAGAAAGAAGAGAGTAAAAGAGGGAGAGAGGGAGAAAGGGAGGGGGAGGAGGGAGAGAGAAAGAAGGAGAGGGAGGGAGGGGGAGGGGGAGAGGGAGGGAGGGAGAGCGAGCGCGAGAGAAAGACCAGGACTCTGGGATACCACTGGTGTGTTGACTGTTGCTGAAAGTCTACATCTTCTTAAATTTTAGAGAGAGTTAAGCCTCAGAGAGCCTGCTAAAGCTTTCTCCCTTGTTCTTCAGGATCATTGTTTGGGCCAGTGGAGCACAGCAACATTTGAAAGTCTGGAGCAAAAGACCAAATTTCACAGACTGATGGGTGGGTTTAAAAAAGGCTTCGTCCCAACTCAGAGTTCAGCTCCAGCCAATGCTAACAAACCAAACCTGGCTCTGGACCGGCCCAGAGAGCAAGAACTGCAACATAACCTAGAAGCAGAATTCAAGAAAGCCATGGAGTTTAAGCACCATCGCGGAATCGGCCTGGGGTTCCAGTCCAGTGCTCCCAGTGATGCGCACATAGACAAATACGCTTCCAAATCTATTAAGTTTGAAGTCTGAGGAAGGGAAGGCTAAACTGCCCCAACCAGATGGGTTATAATTATTATTTTTAAAAATCTACAACAAGAAAATATATATGATTGATATATGCCTGATGAGCCATGATTGACTTGATTTAGGATGGGTAACTGTGCTACGGTCGTTTAACAGTATATAACTAAATAAGTGGCAGGTAAGAATAGAACATACTTTAAATCCGAGGCAGGTGACCTGTGGTTTTGCCTGCAGTCTCAAATTTTTGCTGCGAGTTTCCATACTGTGCCACTGAATCTTAGGAGCAGACAGTTTGTTCAACACCTGGGCAAATGACTACATAAATTTACAGTCCTGGCCTCAGTGTTGTGCTCTTCTGTCATACAGTGATTGTGTGTCCAGGGGGGAAAAAAGCCATCTTGCTTATTTCAATGTTACATCCAATTTTATTAAAAGTTTGTTTCTACAATTCATCTGTCTCAAGTGGTATCTCAAGGTAAATATATGTTATCTACAAGGGAGATTATAATCTTCATGGCTGGCCAAGATGCATCTCTGCACCTCTTTGCTAGTCCAGGACATATTTGTAGCTCAGGGTTGAACCTGGAGTCCTTGGTGGTCTCTGAGCTTGGTTTTCTTGATGACATTTCATGACCCAATTAGGTAACATCATCACTGCTAGAAGGGGAGTAGGGTTTTCTCTCTGTTTACACAGAAGTGGTTTGGGCAATCAATAAACTATCTATGCAGATAATCAAATAGCAAACAGCCTAATCAAGGAACTACTAAGAAGAAGGCCACGTTCCCACCAACGCTGACAGGATAAGCCACCCGTATAAAAATTCCCTTCTAGCACTGATGATATTACCTAGTTGGGTAATGAAACCTCTGTAAGTGAACAAGCAAGCTGTGAGCACCCTGACCTCATTTATTCTCCTTTTCTTCTGTCTCACCCCTTCCCCTCACGTTGTATGACATCACCTTTTCCTTTCAGACCTTCCTCAAATCCAGCCTTAACATTTATACAAAATCAAGCTGAGATGAAGGCTGCTTATTTTAAAACGCCGACTTCTGCAGTTTGGAATTCCTTCGTTTTTGCTTTGTAGGCCAGCGCTGTACCAACACGCATATTTTTCTAAAATGCTGCTCCCCTATTCTTGAAGGATTACATCATCTAGCAATTTAAAAGCAAAACCTCTTCCACTCACTCCCTGGCAATTATAAATTAAAAAGCAGATGAGGACTGCATCATAGGAACATAAAATAGCCAGCTAAGGACTACTTGCAAAGATTAATACTGAATATAAATGCCTCCTATCCTTACGAGATTTTTTTAAAATGCATTTTGAAGGAAATGCATTGTGAATTAACTGATCTGTGCTGCAAACACAATTATTTTCACTACCTAACAGGATAAAGAGTTGGAAGGGACCTGGGAGGTCTTCTAATCCAACCTCCTGCCCAAGCAGGAAATCCCTTCTTCAAAACCTCCAGTGTTGGAGCACTCACAACTTCTCACAATTATCCCACTAATTGTTCCAACTGTCAGAAAATTTCTCCTTCGTTCTAGATTGATTCTTTCTATCTTATTGCTTCTTGTCTCCCGCCTTCTGGTGCTTAGGTTGACCCCTTCTTCCTTGTGGCAGCCGCTCAAATTTTGGAACGCTGCTATCATGCCTCCCCTAGTCCTTCTTTTGATTAAATTAAACATAATGTTTGGGATATACTTTGCAGGGGCTTTCCCAACATGTTAACGTTTTCCCAATTGTGCTTTCTTGACTAGATGATTTCAAAGCATATATTTTAAAGGTGTCAAATAATTCTAGTTTATCCCTTTTCTAAAGCTAGTGAGTACTGCCTTTCTCTTTCACCTTGCCAACCCAAATCATCTTTCTTTCCTTTGCAAGTCCGCCAAATTTGAATTTAAAAGTTATTTTTTCCACTCCGTGATGATTAAGATAATATTTCACTGACCCAACATTAACATTAAAGTCAACGTTTAATGATGAACAGCTGTGTAGTGGGGAAACAAAACCATTTTTTTTTTACCAAAATGACTGTATCACCAGGAAAATTTACCTTTTCTTCTCCAACCAAGTAAATCTTATCGTGCGCCAAGGGACCTTTTAAAGGGAAAAGATACCAAACTCTGATCACATCCTGTGAGGCAGCTTGCGAGTTTAAAGGGCTTGGAGAACGACCTTTCCAGGGATGTAATTGCCCAGTTGGACATCCATTTAAGTTCTTGACTGCAAAGGGAGCCGTAGCGTCAGCTCTGTAAAGTGGCTGAATTCAGGGTGTTTACTCTGCAGCTTGATGTATTCCAAGGTTTTGACCTAGAAAAGGAAACGGGGAGGAAAAGCATCGTGAAAGTTGACATTGTTATGCATCTCTGCCTCATCCCTCCTAAAGGGTGTTTTTAAGGTCCAGTGATTCAGGCATGAATTTATTGTGTCAAATTAAGGGCTGTAGGTGAACTAAAGAGAGGTTGCAGTAGCAATTGCACTTAAACTTATATGCCGCTTCCCTGTGCTTTACGCAGCTTTCTCTAAGCGGTTTACAGAGTCAGCCTCTTGCCCCCAACAATCTGGGTCCTCATTTTACCCACCTCGGAAGAATGGAAAGTGGAATCAACTTCAGGATCGAACTTCTGGCAGTGGGCAGAGTCAGCCTGCAATACTGCATTCTGACCACTGCGCCACCACGGCGCCTTCCTCATCAACACACCCACACCCACACCAGGCCCTTATGTGGTGGTGGGCTTCCGTCTTACTGTGGTTTTGGTGTCCGCAAAGCCATGTTTCTGAGCCAGGTTCCACAGGTTGACGGCCAACTGGTTGAGTTTGTTGTTCCGCAGATCGGCGTGAGCCAAGAGGCTATTGAAGAAGCAGAGGGCCAGGTGACTTTGACGCTTTAGAGTCTGCCGATGATAAGAAAAGGGTCCGTTTAAGGGGCGGCTAAGCAGTACAGGTAGTCCTTGATTTACAAACACTGAGTGAGCAAAGTTACAGCGGCGCTGAAAAGTGACAAACGACAGATCTTCACACTTAAGAGGACTGGCAGCTTCCTCACAATCACGTGATCAACATTCAGGCATTTTGCAACCTGCCTGTATTTATTCCAGGTTCACTGTTTGCAATGTTCCCAGCTGGCTTCCGACAAATAACATCGATAGGTGAATCCAAACAGAATAGAGCTGGAAGGGACCTTGGAGGTCTTCTAGTCCAGCCCCCTGCTCAAGTTGGAGACTATATTATTTCAGACGACTTGTCCAGTCTCTTCTTAAAAACCACCCACCCACCAACCACTTCTGGAGGCAAGCTGTTCCACTGGTTTCTCCTTAATTCCAGGTTGCTTCTCTCCTTGATTAGTTTCCATCCATTGTTTCCTGTCCTGCCTTCTGGGGCTTTGGAAAATAAATTGACCCCCTCCTCTTTGTGGCAGCTTCTCAAATACTGATATACTGCTGTCATATCATATTAAGCCAGATTTGCTTAAGGACCACATGATTTATTTAACATAGTGGTTTGCTCAGCAACCATTGGCAAAAGTTGTCAGATCAGGGGTGCCTTGCCTAGCAATGGAAATTCTTAATCTCAATTGTGATTGTAAGTCAAGGACTAACCCTATGCAGAGTGGTGCAAATCACTGCAAACGACAGAGGATCCCTGCCCCCATTCAACCTACATTTGCCAACTAAGGCTAGCCCTACTGGAAAGGTTGGAGTTTCACTCTCAACTATTACACCACTGGTTTTAAAGAGGTTCACCGCAATCACAATTAAAGGTGTTTACTCTCTTCTTGTTTGGCTACAGTTATTTCACCCACGAACCAATCGTTGCCAAGAGCCAAATCGGGTGTATGTATAACATATGACTTTGGTGAGTATCCTAATGTGACACTATGGCATAGCAGGGCACAGGCTAACCAGTGTCCTTCAGACATTGGCTAATAAACTTCTACAATCTCTTTGCCATTGGGCATATAAATGTAATACACAGATGAAGAAATCCTGGCAGATTAACAGAGTTGGAAGGGATCTTGTAGGACATCTAAAGGTTCCCCTCGCACATCCGTGCTAGTTGTCCCCAGCTCTAGGGCGCGGTACTCATCTCCATTACAAAGCCAAAGAGTCAGCGCTATCCGAAGACGTCTCCAGGGTCATGTGGCCAGCATGACTAAACACCGAAGGCGCACGGAGGAACGCTGTTCTCTTCCCACCAAAGGTGGTCCCTATTGGTCTACTTGCATTTTTACGTGCTTTCGAACTGCCAGGTTGGCAGAAGCTGGGACAAGTAACAGGAGCTCACTCCATTATGCGGCGCTAGGGATTTGAACCGCTGAACTGCTGACCTTTCTGATCAACAAGCTCAGCGTCCTTAGCCGCTGAGCCACAACGTCCCACGTCAAGGGTAAGAGAAGTCAAAGTGGAAAACAATGAGAAGGGATCGGTGGGTTGCCTGGTCTTGCTAAATTTGGGGGAAATGCCACGGCAAACTCAACTGAGCACCCATGTGGAAGACCAAGTCCTCCTCCTGAACTCTCCTTTTGTCAAAATGTACATTTCCCTGAATAAAGCTTGCAAAGAAAGCCAGGAACTTCTCGGCCGAGAGTTACCAGCCGTTTACTCATCCATGGAAAAACTATTTCTTGAAGAGGACTTGGTGAGGCGATCACGGTTGACCTGTCCCATCAATTAATGTGTTTCATCCTTCACTGGAACTCTCTTTAAACTCAGCCAGTCTTAACAGTGGCCCAGAGGGTGAGTTATAACTAGGGAAGCAGACGGGGAAAACAAATGCTGCCCAAGTGCAGTCAGCTGGATCGCTGCGGTGTGCTCTACACGGGACTGCCATTGAAGACCGTTTGGAAGGTAGAGCTGGTCCAGATGGCAGCAGTGAAGGTCCAGGTAATCCTCGACTTAACGACCACAGCTGAGTCCAAGATTTCCATTGTTAAGGGAGACGGTTGTTTTGATAATGGCCATATCCAATCAATACTGTGCAAGCTGCATTGATTCCCATATAGTTTTCTGAGTGGAATTCTCCAAATTCAGAAATCTGTCCAAACACAGACCACCCGTTTATACCAGCCCCCTGGGCAACTTCTAGGTGTGTGGACTTCAATTCCCAGAATTCTCATCAGTGATTATGCTGGGCAGTGGAATTCTGGGATTTGAAATCTACACAACTGGATGTGGCCCTGGTTGTGAAACGCTGCCTTCTTAACAGCGGTGAGAGAAAGTCTGTGAATCCTTTAGAACAGGGGTCTCCAACCTTGGCAACTTTTAAGACTTGTGGACTTCAACTCCCAGAATTCCAGTTGGAGATCTGTCAGAATATATTCATGAACTGCAATGGAGCATGGTAACAAGGTCAGCCAATGAATAGGCGTAGCAATTAAGTCAGTCAATGAAGACTGTTTGGAAACTGAAACTAGAAGTAGCTTAGGCGTGGCTCTAATTAAGCTCTGCAGCTATGTTAAGCTCTGAGTCTGTCTATTGAAAATGAAACCGCTTCTCTCCTCTGCTGTGTGTCTTGCTTGCCTGCTGAACGAAAGTGAAACTGATGTCTGTTTCTGAGCTCCTGGATTGCCGCTCCGAACCTGTAACATGTCTGCTTCTGTTTGAGTTTGCTCCTTGTTGGAGAAATCTACAACTGGTTGGTAAAATTTACTTTATGTGTTTATAAAGAAGTTAAACGAAGCATCAGCCATCTGTGTTTACTTTTCTGGCGCTGCAATTTACGCTGCAATACTCCGAACAAGATCCCTGCTTTAGAACTCTCCGTATCCTGTACTACAGAGACCTACAACTTGGCTCAATCAAGTTTTACGGATAAGAGATTCTAATTAAACCACACAAAAAAAACTCAGGATTCCACGTCAGGCTAGAGAGGGACAAAAGCAGGAGAGAAAGGTTTATTTTCCAGTTACAAAGCTCCAACAGTTCATTCTCACCTCGTCTTTTCCAAGGTTCTTCAAATGCTCCAAGATTTGGCTGATCACCGTTTCACACAACCTGCTTGTTTCTGCCAAAAACTTGGTGTCTCCGCCATACAAGGTATCATTAGATTCAACTGGGGGGGGGGGGAAACATACGGAAAGGGAGGTCAATATGAATTTAGAAGGCTAACTATATAAAAAAATTAAATTTAGAATTTAGAAGGGTAACCAGTATCTAAAACAAAATAAAAATATGAAGTAAAGTTAACAATGGAGGAACCTTCTGCTGCCATCTCCCTGCTCTATCTTCCTCCCTCTCACCTTTGTCTATGTGATAGAGGTAGGTCTCTTGACCCATTGCAGAGAGAAGATGCACCACATTGGTGTAAATTTTGACTTTGTCATCGCTGTTATCTTCCCAAGTGTAATCCTGGATAACGTTGAGCAGCCCCCGCACGAGGAACAGCACACCTTGTTCAGGATGGTCCTGGGGAACAAAGGTGGGTGAGACACTACCACGTATTGACCGATCGCTTTCCCTGAACCCTAATGTCTTAAAAGGATTTATATCGGAGGGCTTAAGGCTAAGCCTTAGAATGCAACATAGAGGGAGGTGGGGTAAAATAGTCAGACACTGGGTTGAGTCACTGTCTGAATGGACATGCAGTTGCTCTCTTGAACGTCTTCCAGTAACAGCGTATAGCTCTTCCAAGGACATTCCACGTAGGGTATCCTGGGTGCTTTCTGAGCTTGGTTGTTTCCTGCAGACATTTCATTACCCAACTAGATAACATCATCCGTCTTAGAAGGGATTGATGTTTTGGGGAGGAGGAGGAGGGGGAGGAGGAGGAGGAGGAGGAGAACGACTGGGGTCCTTGATGCTCTCTGATCTTGATTGTTTTCTTGCAAATGTTTCCTTATCCAACTAGGTAACACCATCGGTGTATTGATGATGTTTCCTAGGTCGACTGGGTACCCCAGTTGGGTAATGAAACTCTGCAATGAAAACAAGCACGCTCAGAGAGCACCAGGGACCCTACAGTCCTCCTCCACCTCCTCCTCTTCATCTCCTCCTCCTCCTCCTGAGTTTTGCTTTCTGCTTATTACTGCAAAAGCGCAATCGGCCTTTACATGGTGCAAAGCAGAATAACTCACAGTCAACATTTTAGAGGGCCATGAAAATTACAAAAAGCAGCCACTTTGGTGTAGTGGTTAAGGCACCAAGCAAAAAAGATGGGAGACGGAGACTTCTAGTCTTATGTTAGGCACAGCTGGGCAACCTTGGGCTGCTCTCTCTCTCTCTCTCTCTCCCCTCCCTCTCCCTCTCCCTCTCCCACTTCCCAAATCTTGCCAAGAAAACTGCAAGGTTTTATCCAAGCAATTGCCAGGGGTCAAGATTGACTCAAAGTTGTTTTTGTTGTTGTTGTTTTGGTAAAGGTTCTGTTCCAGATGTTTTGGCTCAGCACCCTCTTTGCATTTGAAGAGCCTATTTACTTCTTTTCTTTTTAACTTCAGTGAGGGAGCAAGAGAGAGAGAGAGAGAAATTTTAATTCGTTTGATCTTTATCGGGTTGCTGATTTACGGCTGCCATAGAGAAGTGATTTGATTTGAAAGCCGTTTGCCTCTTTCCTTCTGTCTCCCACATTTTCAGCCCAAGGGGAGGAAAACTATCTGGTCTTAAGCAAGGCCCAGCCTTCAGCTGACAATTACTAACTGGTGTTACTAGCCTCCTTATCTTCTCCACTTACAGGAACGATTAACAAAGTTGAAAAGAAGTTGCAGAGGAATTCTAAGAGGTAGCCTTCCGAAGGCCGCAGCTTCCCGTCTATGCTGATCATCTTGGGTACCTCAGGAACCAGACTGATTCCCGCTCTGAAAAAGGCGTCAGCTATAAAGAGATCAAAGTTGAGGGGGGGGATTTCATTAGCAGATCAAACTTAGCTCGATCAACATGCCTGTTATTTAAAAATGGTTTGCCATCAAAAGCCCAATGAACTAAAACGAAAAGGAAATAAGGAAATATCTTGTGCTCATTAAATGAATGGATTGGGCTACTATACTTATATCTTAAATTTCAACCGTTCTTTTCCCAGAACACAAGATTTTATTCCTAAAGATTCTTAAGGCAAAAGTCACAGAATGTATGAATTTCAAGCCTTCTCTTCAGTTATTCTGGTTTTAAAAACATGCACTATCTAGTGTCTAGACTATAATCACACCAGAGGACAAATTCAATTTTACCACCAAGGGGGGGAAAAAAAAAAAAAACCTATCTAATCTAATTCGGTAAACAAACATATTTTGGGCTTCTAAAATTATACATCTCCCTTATCTTTTTTTAAGTGTAGCTTTCATCAACTCACTTATCCCACCTCAGTTCACTTTAGGTGAAAAACAACAATTAGGGACAAACATATGTGTACATCAGAGTGAATAGCTTGCATGAAAGAGCTCAGTGTTTGTGTTATCGCTAAAGTCAAACAACACAATTTGCATTTTGAAGGCAGACGACTGACTCAAGTTGCTGCACGCAAAAGTATGTAATTAAGATCATCCTTTCATCCCAGGATAATTTCACTTTTTACATAAACCACAGAGCCTGTTTAGATCCAAAACTGATGGAAACTGTGGTAGTAGAACGTCAGTTGAGGACAAGCCTGGATCAAACCGTGATTGTCCACAAGGAAAGCCAAGACCAGCTGCATGCCAACTGAACCAAACCTGGACACTTGATAACCCTTTTTGAAAACCACTTGATCACTAAAAGTTGATCTTTCTCTTCCAATGTTACTCTGGCTGGATTTACCCTTGGTGCAAACTCAGTTGTTGTTTTTTAACTTTCATCTGTTGAATGAACCAAATGGATGGATCCTCACAACTGAGTCATCCTTGAGGGTTGGAGAAGACCTTTCTACTGAAAGTTATGGATAGCCAGATCCTGGCAAAGCTATGTCTCCCTTTCAGTGTGTTTATAGATATGTGCAATAAGAGCAGCTAATCTAGCACTGTGTTGTCTAGCAATGATGATGTTACCTAAGGTAAGGAAAGGTCTACAACAAAATAGCAAAGCTCAGAGAGTACCAAGGACCTCAATGTCCTCCTCTTCCACTCTGCAAACTCCATTCCCTTCTAGAACTGATGATGTTACCTAGTTGGGTAGTGAAACATCTGCAAGAAAACCACCAAGCTCAGAGAGCGCCAAGGACCAAACAGTTGCCCTGTTCCTCCTCTCCCTCTTCTTCCTCCTCCCTCCACAAACCCTTCTAGCATTGATGATGTTACCTAGTCGGGTAATGAAACATCTGCAAGAAAACCAGCAAGCTCAGAGAGCACCAAGGGCCTCGCAATCCTCTTTCTCCTCTATTCTGCAAACCTCATTCCCTTCTAGCATTGATGATGTTACCTAGTTGGGTAATGAAACATCTACAAGATAATAACCAAACTCAGAGAGCACCAAGGACCCCTTGCAGTTCAACCCTGAGCTACAAATGGTCTTTTGCACCACTAGCAAATCTATTTAACAAGATATAATAGTGCAGTTGGCTACTGCAAATTGGGTAAGTGGTGTTCCTCCATGGGGATATCCTCCAAACAGATCAGCTTTGATTCCACACTCTCCCTAACCAGCAGAGCCACTGCTAGAAATTTCAACCTTGGCAGAATTCTGGGAGTTGTAGTCCACACACCTTCAAGTTGCAAAAGGTGGAAATGGAGACATTTTGCCTTGCATTTTTCTAGAGCCAATATCAAACCGGCCTATAAAACCAAATAACCAGGACTGGATTGCGAAACTCAAGATGACCCTGGACAGCATTGAAAAAAGATGATACAATTCAGAATCCTCTTTCCAAAGAACATCTATTCTTTCCAGAGCTAATTCTTATTGTCTTCAGAACTATTTTCAGTCCTCCCAACCTCCTCCAGAGAGAGGGCAAGTGAAGATTCGGAGCAAACAAACGCACCCACGAATTATCGGGGAGGGAACAACAACAACAGCAATGAAGCCATCACAGCTGGCGGGTGCTGAAAAGTGACTTCATGCTGGCTTGTCTACAAATAAATACAAAATGTCCCCCCCTGACTAAACCTATTGTTTTGAAAATGTGCCTGGATGGTACAGTCAGCGTTACTTTAAACCCTTCTGTTCTCATGATGCCCACCAAATGATGCCTAAACAAAAGGAAAGCCACAGCTTTGCAGGAAAGGGCTTAGTCAGTGTATCACATCAACTTGTTTGTCTTTACAGCTGGAATTTGCTCGTAAAGTGCTAAAGTGCGCAATGCTGACAATATTTGTTATTGGTCTGAATAGGGCAGGATCCAATTCTCCTTTGCAAAGGACAGGAACCATCTAAATTATGCACAAAATCCTGGGGCCTTGCAACTTTCTCCTTCTCTGTCCATCCCTCATCACAACACACAACCCTGATTCTAAGAGAGGGAACTAATCTTTTTTTCTTTTTTTTTAATATTTAACTGAAATCTTTTGTTTTGCTTCCAAGTATTCCAACCCTCACCGGTTTGGAGTGTTGTTTTCTACAGCAAACAAACCCTGCTTTGTCCATTCTTTGAATTTCTCCGCTTCAGACAAGATAAAGGGGATAATTTTACTTTTGGGTTGTTTCCTATAATATTTGCAGGTTTATTATTTCCCCCTCCTCCCTGGTTTTGCAGCTTTTTTTCTTCTTCAAAAGAATCAATGGGGGAGAGAAACAAGATAGGCTGTTACAAAGAAAGATGTTTTGCACTGCTTCTGATTGGACAATAGCGTGAGAAAATTTAGAAGGAGTAGAGAAACTTTAATTAAGGAAATGCCTATTTCTCTCTCTTCTTTATCTGTCTGCAAGGGACACGGTTTTGTGTTTTTAACAAAATGCAGTCCTGTTCATTTTTCCTTCCCTTCGTTTCTCATTATTTTCATTTTTTGCTTTTTCACACAGCCTTATAAAACGAATAAAAAATGTTCCAACGGCAAAATGCAGTCATAATTAATCATTCGTTCGGTTGCGTTCTTCTCAAGAAAAGCACAAAAGAAGGCACAAGCCTTCACATCTTTGTGAATCCGAACACGGGCTCATTGCTATTGCTATCTAGTAGTCCTTGACTTGCAGTTACAATCAGGACCAGAATTTCTGTTCCTAAGCAAGACCGTTGCAAATGAGTCCTGCAGTCATTAAGCAAACCCGACTTTTCCTAAGGACTTTGCTTGTCGGGGAAGCCAGCTGGGGAGATTGCAAATAGTGATCCCATGACCCTGGGGCACCAACAACCATTGTAAAAAGATGTCGGTTGCCTAAGCATCCAAATTTTGATCAGGTGACTAAAAATGGTCCTAAGTGGGGGAGAAGCAGTTCTGTCACTTTTTTTCAGTGCCCTTGTAACTTCAAATGATCGCTAAACGAATCCTTGTTAAGTCGAGGACTACTCGTATAGTAGAACTGTTTTTCACCCACCTATTCCCTCTGTAAATTGTCTCTCTTCTGCCAAGGACCAAACCATGGGAAGCAGAGTCCCTTCTCAAGCTCTTTACAGGGGAAGAGTTAGAAATTTGAGCAACTCTCTTTGGTTTTGCCTCTCTAATCTCTGAAATCAACAACAACAACAATAACAACATCGCCTTAGAAAATTGTGCAGAGCTTATTGCTCTTGCAGTTTTACCTTGTGAAAGGCACTGATTAGCCAAGGCAACTTGTCCAGAGTGCAGGTACAAATTGAGACGGGTAAAAATGCCGGTCAGCGATGGGATCGTTATGAAGCAGAAGGCGACACAAGCCTGGAATTAGGAAAGATCAATCACAGCCAGGTTTCTTAGATTCAGACTTTTAATATTTAACGTTCACCGCATTAACCATATTTTAAAAAATATTTATTAAGCTTATGCACCGCCCACCTTACTCCGCACTCTTCATTTTACCTATGATGCCTTATGTTTAATGTAATAAATATACAGTATAATGTAATGTAGGCCAAACAAGAAACCTGTTGATGAAGTTTTCGCAAGTCTTTTAAAAGGTGGATTCAATCCAGTGGTGGGATTCAAATTTTTTGACTACCGGTTCTGTGGGCTGGCTTGGTGGGCGTGGCAGGGTAAGGATACTGCAGAATCCCCATTCCCTCCCCACCCCCCTAACCTGCTTTCCAGTTCCGTTCTCCTGTGCAGGGCAACCCAAGGAGACCCAGCTGGTCAGCTGGGACTCAATGGGAAGCAGAGAATAGATGGGGTTGGCAGGGCCAGTCAGAGGTGGGATTTGCCAGTTCTCCAAACTACTCAAAATTTTTGCTAGCAGTTCTCCAGAACCGGTCAGAACCTGCTGAATACCACCTCTGATCCAGTCATTGGAGAAGATGTCAATCAGACTGAGATCTTTTTACTTACAAGGAATCATCAAGCCAAGATTGAGGGCTAACTCTCAACCACCGATTGTTCCATGTCTGCACTTACCCTGACAAATGCCGCAGTTTTTCTGGAATGATTCCCTTTCATTACTTTTCTTGTTTCCATCGCCAGCTGATTCACGCTCTGTTTTGGAAAATAATGTTACCGACGTGAACAACTCTGCATCCACACAACTTATGGACCTGGGAGTTTCTTGACTGCCCAAAGCACTTCTATATAAACAGAGAGCAAACCCGACTCCCTTCTAGCACTGATGATGTTACCTAGTGGGGTAATGAAATCTCTGCAGAAAACAATCAAGCTGAGAGAGCACCAAGGACCCCTCATTTCAACCTCCCTGAGCTACAGATATTCTCCTTTATCAATACCAAGAGCACTTCATGGGATAGAGCTTAATTAGATTCAGGAGCGAAGGAAGGAAGAACTCCAAAGATATGCTATGACACACAAGATATGCAAGGTGTGTTTCATTCTGCACACACACACACACACAAATCATAAAACCTGTACAAAGATAGAGCAAACACATGAGGGGACCTGAAGGTAAATGAGGCTGGGAGAATCACCCAGGTAGATCAAAGGGATGATGGAGTCTAAGTGTTTTAGATGACCAGTGACGTTGCACTGTACCTTAAATTAGTTTTAGTTTTTAGTTTACTTTATTATCATTGCACCTTGTATAACGAAATCAAACACCATCTTCAGTGCACATCATGACCATGAAAATAAACACAAACACAGATCCTTTACCCTTCACACATTGAACCGGAGGTATGACACCACACCAACACTGCACTATACAGCAGAATTCAATAGAGTTACTGCCCTGGGATAGAAGCTGTTTTTCAGCCTATTTGTCCTTGTTTTTATTGTCCTGTACCGTCTGCCAGATGGTAATAGTTCAAAAAAAGGGAGCCCAGGATGAGATGGATCTTTGAGGATGTTTTGAACTTTCTTAAGGCAGCAGGAGCTATAAAGCTCTTCCAAAGAGGGGAGAGGGCAACCCATGATCCTCTGGGCAATGACATTAACCCTCTGGAGTGCTTTCCTAAAATTAGTTGATTGAGAATAGTGTATCCTGTTGTTTTTTTCTTAACCCAAGAGGACAACTAGCATGGCGATAGGTGCAAAGAATCAGGACTATTTCTTAGGCATAGAAGATTTATTCAGAAGAATGTGGTCAACTAATGGTCAGCATTAAACTGATGCTAGATAAGGGCCAATGGAATTCAAGGGGGGGCTGAATTTGGATTTCTTGTGGCAACACAAGGACTCTAAACTCATGACACATTTAACTCCATCTTCCAGCTCTGCTTGCTCTTTTCCTACACGTGGCCTCCATTAGGACTTAAACTCCCAGAATTCTGGGAATTGGAAGTCCACATATCTTAACTTAGTCAAAGTTGCCCTGGACAGTGAAAATATAAAGGATTAAACACTAGAAACTGCTTTAAAGAACAATCCCAAAGTGACATTCTTAAAATGTGGCATCAGCTTACTGTCCTGGAATAGCAGCTCAGGTTATGCATTAGCGGGACCACATGGAGACCCAGATCCCATCCGTGCTGCTAATTCAGAAAGAGAAGCAAACATTGCCACATCCAACTCCCATAGCCAATGTTCGCCCTTTTGAGCCATGTGGTACAGTGGTTAAAGTGCAGTACTGCAGGCTACTTCTGCGGACTGCCAGCTGCCTACAATTTGGCAGTTCAAATCTGACCAGGCTCAAGGTTGTTGACTCAGCCTTCCATCCTTCCAAGGTGGGTAAAAGGAGGACCCAGATTGTTGAGGGCAAGATGCTGACTCTGTAAACCACTTAGAGGGGGCTGTAAAGCGCTGTAAAGCGGTATATAAGCCTAAGTGCTATTGCTATTTATGGCAACCACCTTCCAATATCTGATCTAACAGAGTGTCCAAATCTTCCTGCGCTCTTGTTCAAGCCTTGAGGAAGTTGACCTTGCAGGGCTGAGAGAAATGTCAGCAATGACAATATACAAAAACCACAAGGAGCAAAAAAAAATAGCCACGCCGCTCATTTTGCCCGTCAAACTATGCTTACATGGATGAGCTGGACCAGCACAGGTTCCAAGTTGCAAAACATGGATCGGGCTTCCACGTAAAAATTCAGCTGCTGCTCAAAATCCCGGCCAAACGATACCTGGGATTAAAGAGATTCACAGGGGGAGATGTCACCGCGGTGTCCAGTTACCCATTCTTTCCGTTCTTATTGGCAGCGGGGTCTCTAGGGGAAGAGTTGCCAGGAAGCGCCTGTATCTACCTCCCTGCCGATAAGGGAAAGGCTTTTTCTTCCTCGTTTCATTTAGAAATTCGGATTTCCCCCCCTTTTCTCACACTCCCAAGGAAGAATGGACATCTACAAGCCCAAAAAGGGACCTCCTCCCACAGAGCATTCCTGTCCAACAGCAACCTATGATACGTTCCTCCTCCGGGTGAAGTTGCGAGGGTTGGATTAGGCACAGTCTAAAGATGAGAAAAGGTGAATTTCAAGACCTGTAAGGTCCAGGGCTGGGCTGCCTGGGGGTTCGCAGGGGTTTCGGGAGAGCCCCTAGCGAAGAGTCTGTGCAGTTCAGAGAACCTCCAAATCCCACTCCTGGCTGCCCCCCCCCTGCCCCCTCCCCCAGGAGTTCCCATACGGCCAGTTTTAGACGCAGGTTAAGTGCAGGGCCTGCATGGAGACTCGAGGAAAGTGAAAAACGGGCTTCCTGGGAGTTTGGAAAGGCCGGAAATGGGCCTGTTTTTGGCTTCCAGAGAGCCTCCGGGGCCCGGGGAGGCGGTTTTCACCCTCCTGGAGGCTCAGAGGAAAGCCTCCGGAGCCTGAGAACGGCAAAAACACACACACACACATCCCGCCGTGGTGCAAGAGGCTGGCCAGGCCAGGCCCACCCAGCAACCGGGCAGAGAACCCGTCGCTAAAAAAAATTTGAAGCCCACCCCTGATAGGGTCCATCATAACCACCAGAACGTTCTCCACGAAATGAGCCCGAATAAAGATTGAAAAGGCAGTAACCACAAAGCAGGAGAACCAGTTTGGCGTCATGGGGAAAAGGCACCAGGCTACAAACTGGGAGAGACTTGTGACTTCTAGTTCTCCCAGGTGGGTGGCCTTGGGCTAGTCGCTTTGTCTTAACCCTTGGAAGGAGGAGCCAATGGTACACCACTTCCAAAATCCCCCCCCCCCCCCCCAAAAAAAAAACTGGCCCAGGAAATCACTAGGAGTCAACGTTTGACTCAAAGTCACTTCCCCCACCCCAGAAACAGATTTCTCACCATTCTTACAAATCCATTGATCAAAGATGCCAGCGTTCGCTTTTCGTCTTCCAGTGTCAGCGCGCTAGAAAAGAACACTTTAAAGCGTCAGTTGTTCAAAAATACAATGTTTGTGCGATTCCTTACAGGGCCTACAGATAGCTCTGGACAAGCGCCCAGATTGTCACAATCCTAAGTGTGAAAAACCTGTCGTAAGTCCCTTTTTTTTCAGGGCTGTTGTAACTTCAAATGCTCACTGGACAAATGGTTGTAAGTTGAGGACTACCCATACAGCGTTTGTTTAGTGTTAGAAGCACCAAATGGGTGTTCTCAAGAAAGCCACGTTTGCTGTAGGCTGCGAGTAAGGACTACAAAAGGATAGCACAAAAGATCTGTAACCAACTGACACACTGTATGTATATAAAATGGAAGATGGTTTTATGTTTTTATGTTTTGTTTGTGTATGTTTGTCTTAAAAAATAAAAACTTTTATTTAAAAAAAAGGCACATTTGCTTATATGTTGCAAAGAGGGAAGACTGGAATCTGAGCAAAAACTTGGGAGAAGCCTTTGAACTGTGAATAATCCTAAAGTACTATTTCAAACAACAGATGGCTTAGGGCAACTGTCTTTTTATTGCACATGTTGTTAGTTATAACAAAAATCTTAATAGACTCAACACTGGGTTTCTAGTTACAGGCATGGAAATACTGTACATTTGTTTCTGCAGACTGGGAGGCATTCATGCAAACAATAATGGATTTTGCATTTGTTTAAATGCAGTTTCTGGAGTTGGAGGAAGGAAAAAAGAATGGGAAACTTGCATTTTGTTTCCAGTGTTGGCCAAGAACTCCCAGAAAGATTGACTCGGCATCCTGGGCGCAAAGTTCAGATGTGACGATATGCAACAGACTTCACATACAAAGCTACTGAGAAGTGCGCGTCTGCACGCACACACACACACACACACACCATCAGTAGGGGAACAGATAGTATCTCTGCCAGGCAGGCTGAGAAAGTGTATTTCTGGCAAGGGTACCGCAAGGAAAAGGGTCCCTTCTTGATAATACTTGGCCAAAAACATTCTGGCATCACAAGTCATTCACAGAATATAGAACATAGAATCGTAAGGCTGGAAGGGACCTTGGAGGTCTTCTAGTCACCCACCCACCCCCTGCTTAAGGCAGAGGCCTTATACCATCCCAGTCAAATGGTTGTTCAGTCTATTTTGGAAAGCCTCCAGCGAAGCACCCACAATTCTGGGAGGCAAGTAATTCCATTGATAGGAAATTTCTCTTTTACTTCTAGGTTGGATCTCTGTTTAATGGTTTTCCATCCATTACTTCTTGTCCTGTCCTCAGATGCTTTGGATAACAGGTTGACCCCCCTCTTCTCTTGACAGTCTCTCGAAATATTAGAAGACTGCTATCATGTCACTCCTAATCCTTTTCTTCGTTAGGCTACAATATACTCTGTTCCCGCAACCGTTCTTTGTATGTGTTACCCTCCAGCCTCCTAATCATCCTTCCTGTTTCTTCTCTGCATCCTTTTTAGAATCTCAATATTAGCTGGATCTCTCTTTAACGAGCTTCTACCCTGACTTCCTTGTTCTGCCTTCTGGAGCTTTGGAGAACAGATCAATCCCCACTTCTCGGTGACAGCCCATTTGCATATTGGGACATATTGGGGTGATTGCAGGGGTGACCCCGAAATGCATATTTTATTCAGTAGATAACCATATTTTTTAATCATTTTCTCATCAGTACCTGTTAGAATTTCATCCAATTCTTTAAGTTCATCATAAAATCCCTCTGTTTTGCAATCTTTATCCTACCTAGAATGTATATATATATGTATACCAATTCATCTTAATTTCTTGCTCCTCTAAGTTCTTGTTTAGATTTGAGTTCACCCTTTTCATTTAAAATTTCACCATATCTAACCGTGTGTTCCATTCTATAAACAACTGGGTATGCAAATGCTTCTGTAACTGACAACCAGACTGGAATTTTCATGTAATGTTGTTTTCTTATTTTCTCCCATATCAACAATAAAGAATCTTGGATATAATGTCTCTTAAAATACCCATGAGTTTTACTTTCTTTATAGCATAAAAAAGCATGCCATCCCAGTAATAGATCATGACCTTCTAATGTTAATAATCTAACATTCCTTAATAAAACCCATTCTTTGACCCATATCAATGCTGCCACCTCATAATATAATTCCCAGTTAGGTAAGCCAAATCCTCCTCTTACTCTAGCATCTTGTAGCAACTTAAGTTTAATTCTTGCCTTCTTCCCCTGCCATATGTATTTCAATATATATATTTTAGCTATATCTTAAATTATTGCACCCTATTCCAATTTCATTTTAGACTGTATTTTATTCCAATTTCATTTTAAATCGTATTTTATTCCAATTTCATTTTAAATCATATTTTATCCCAATTCCATTTTAAATGGCTTTTATCAAGTTTTAGTAATAATTTGTCTGGAACTTTGCACTTTGATATGGCCCAAGGGCTAATCAATCAATCGATCAATAAAATAAAGGTAACTCTGAAAATAAAAATGAAGATAACTCTGCAGCCCCTCCAGGCCTAGAAGAGCTAATGGCCAAGTATTATCAAGTACTGGAATTCAGAAAAGGACTATATTTTCTGGATGCCTGCGAGCCATTACGGTCAAACTGGGATAAAGCTCCCACCTGTCCGGCTGGCTTCACATCAAAGACCATCCAATGGGCTGAATTCTGCCCAACAAAGCAGACGTTATCAAAGTGGAAAATCTGGCTGACCATAACAGAGACAGAAGGTAGGACTGGAGCTTCTGCGTTCCTGGCACCCAATTGCTACTAAATAGAAGATCAGCTTTCTGCAGAAAGAGCGATAAAAATAGCATCCTACAAGGGAGAATTCATTTCAGGAGAGGAAGATTCGTTTTCAGTTATCTATCAACCAAAGTTTCTCAACGGGACTCGCATCAATTCTGCTTTGTTCTCCCCAGCGATGAAGCTGACCCCCCCCCCCACCTTCCAACAAAGCTTTACTTAATTTGAAAGCAGGTCTCTCAAAAATGTGTCACTTGCTTTCCCCTTTTCAGAGCTCTTAAAATGTCCCCCTCTCTCTCTCTGTTAGTTGAAACCGTGAAGTCATTTGCCAGAACTTTCCTTCAGATGGGATTTAAAACAACACGTTCCCCTGCTGAAGGTTTTTTTTTTTTTTTTTCCATTCCCTGGACAAATGGGCAGCCTTGTTAAGGATGGTTCTGAAAAGAATTGGAGCTTGGAAAAGGACTGTCCCTTTCTGCTCTCCTTCCTTAGCCTAACCTGGAACTCAGAAGGGGTCATCAAATCCACCCTTGTTTGGGGGGGGAGGGGAGGGAAGGGCAAGGAAAATAACTTACTTTACCGAATCGTGCATCGTTTTGCAGACATGCAGCAGGGCATTGAGAATGACAGGATCCTTGGTGGGTTCCTGCTGGTGCCTAGGAAGGAAGCACACAATTTCAAAAAATGAGAACGAGAAATGCCTGTGCTGAAGACTAAATTCTCTATTTAATCTATTTAATGATTTTAGGAAATACGACTTCAGCAAGAGTGGTCAATGTCTGGAATACTCTACCTGACTCTGTGGTTTCTTCCCCAAACCCCAAAAACTTTAACCTTAAGACTGTCTACTATTGACCTCACCCCTTTCCTAAGAGGTCTGTAGGGGGCGTGCATAAGCGCACCAATGAGCCTACCCTCCCTGTCCTATTGTTTCTTTTATTTTTCTTATATGTACCCATTTCATGTATTCATAACTATGTTTATCCTTCTACCTATTCAGTGGTGGGATTCAATTTTTTTTACTACCGGTTCTGTGGGCGTGGCTTGGTGGGCGTGGCAGGGGAAGGATACTGTAAAATCTCCAGTCAGAGGTGGGATTTGCCAGTTCTCTGAACTACTCAAAATTTCCACTACTGGTTCTCCAGAACTGGTGAATACCACCTCTGTACCTATTATCTTGTAAGCAATTGACAAATCAAATCAAATCAATAAATAAAATAAAATAAAATAAAATAAATGAAGATAGTAGCTCCTTGTGTAATGCATATTCAAATAAATTCGGAGTGGCTCGAGAAAGTGGCCCACAGAAAATTAAAATTAAATGCTTCTAATTAAATGCTTCTTTTTAATTAAAATTAAATGCTTCTAAATAAAAAGAATAGATCTTTCAGATGGATCTTTACAGATATCCGATAGGCAGAGAGGTGGGTTTAAAGACAACTCTTGAAGGAATGTATTTGATAGCATGCAAATAGCAGCAAACATGTCCCTGACAGTGCAGACCTGAAGGGAAGGGAAGGGAAGGGAAAGGAAGGGAAAGGGAAGGGAAGGGAAGAGAAGGGAAGGGAAGAGAAGGGAAGGGAAGGGGAAGAATAGGGAAGGGGAGGGTGAAGAAGGGGAGGAGTTCAGTGACCTCAGCTTTGGGGCACTGTGCAAAAGTGACTGACCAAGACAAAGAAACTGAATTGCTAATAAGGACTGTGGGGTCCTTGGTGCTCTCTGAGCTTGGTTGTTTCCTTGCAGACATTTCATCACCCAACTAGGTAACATCATCAGGGTAGTAAGGGAGTAGGGTGTCCTCTCATTTCATATACGCTAGTGGTCTGCCCTGTCAGTATTGGTGGGAATGTTCTTGGTCGTTCCTTGATTAGGCTGTTGTTTACTATTAGCTTGTTTGTCTGAGTTGGTGGTTTCTTGATTTGGGGGTATCGTTTGCTTTTCGATTGTTGGTCTAGTGTTAATCCTGAGCTGAATCTCTGCTCATCTGGGTGTTGACTGCTAGGGAGGACATGTTCAGGTCCTTTTGTTTCCTTTGGTGGCTTTTTGTTTGTCTCTCTTTGATGTTGTAGCTGTTGTTTATGTGATGAAATCAGGATTACAGTTAGAAAGGAAGCCTCGTGTTGTGCCAAGCAAATCCTGCACAAGAGACGGGGGCGAGGAAGAAGGAAGCCTCTGCCTTTTTGCCCTTCTCTCTGAACCACTGGGATATCAGGAAGTGCTCGATATCTTCACCCAACGTTATGAGGCACAATTCCACCCAAGGGTGCTGTTGCAAAGCAGAATTTTTAGGTAGGTTGAGTTTCTGCCAGAGGGATGCTTCAACGCCCTATCCAAATGCTCCCAATTAAAAAAATGTTTTGAAGAAGATAATCTAATTCTGCTCCTTATGCCACATACATTCCTTTGGATAAACAAAGATAGCTCAAGGTCATCATGAAGGACCTCTGCGTAGCAGCACAGAGCAGTATTTTTTTATTTGCAAATGAAAGATACATATAAGATGTCCATCGCCCCTGAAATGCTGCATCATTTCACAAAATCAGGACCACACGACTCTTCCAAAGCAGAATGATGAAGTTTTTTTTTTAAAAAAAATAAAACTTGATAATCAACCAAGGTTTAGTTGTCATCAAAAAAAATACCCCCCCCCCAAAGGAAATAAGCATCTGAAAGGGGCATTCAGCATTAAAAAGGAAGGTATTTTGATGAATCTCATTTCAATTTGAACAATGCTGAGTATTCTCTTTTCACAATGCAGCTTGTTAGCATGCCACTCCAGAGTTTTTTTTCTTTCTCTCTCTCTCTCAAAATCAGTTGTCATCAGCAAAGAAGAGCAACATATGGCAAAAGGGCCTTTTCTGCCTTTTCAAGCCACTTCGCAGGGGATAAAACAGAAGCAGAATTAAACAGAAGCTCCGCATTCTGTAGAATCAAAGCATTGCTTCCAAATATTTTTGAGGCTAAAACAGAACTATTATATCTATGTAGCTATACGGATATAAAAAAGCAGGAGTTGCATGAAAAGATTTCCTTCCTGTCTCCTCTTTCCATTTTACTTCTCCAAACCACGTCCTTGCACATGTTCTTTTCTCATTTTTCTTCCAAGGGCTCATTTTTTGTGGGCATTTACTATCAGAGCAGGCTATTGCTTTCATCATATGCGATTTAATTTCCATTCGAAACAGCAAATAGAAGCCCATTAATCACTTTATTTCATCAGGTATCAGATCTTATAAGCAGATAACTATGTAGTGGTTTAAGAGCTGGCCTAGAAACTATGAGGCTGTGAGTTCTAGGCCCACCTTAGGCATGAGAGCTGGCTGGGTGACTTTGAGCCAATCAACAGGAGACTGTGAGTTCTAGTCCCGCCTTAGGCATGAAAGTCAATGGGTGAGTTTGGCCCAATCACCAGGTGGCAGCGAGTTCTAGTTCTGCCTTAGGCATCAGTTGGGTGACCTTGGGCCAGTCTCTTTCTGTCTCTTTCAGCCAAACCCACCTCAAAGGGTTGTTGTAGGGAAAAAGAGGAGGAAGGAGTGTATTTGCATGTATGCTCGCTGCCTTGAATTACTTATAAAGTAATAAAGGCAGAATAAAAATCTAATGAATATATAAATAAATCCACCCAAGCCTTTTTAATAGAAACACGGGGGACCATCCAATGATGCAGCCCCTACACAAATGCTTCTTGCCTTCTGCAGTGTACAATTCAGTATCCGCCCTAACCATCCACGGCTTATTTTCTATGTTGCTGTCTATCTGTTGCACCGTATGATGACTTTATTATGACTCTGCCTAGAGGCAGCTCATCAATCTTCCGAGTAAATAAATAAGCAAGCCAGCATCCAGCTTTGCTTTCTGATCTGTCCTTCTGCAAATGCTTCCTCCTCCTCTTCCTCGTTCCATTTCTGGATTGTACCCACCGTGTCTGACAGCAGCGCCCGTTTTTACAAGCACGCGATTGCTTTAATGCAGTCGGTTGCATAATTGTTGATGTGCCTCAACAACAGATCAATAGGAATGAGAATATATTTTAAATTCCTTATTTAGAGCAGCGCGAGGTGCCTTTCCAAAACCTCCCAATGCCAAATGGACTGCAGATGAATTCTATCCGTCACACTTAACAGCACTTAAATAGATCTGTCTCGACTCTCTGAAGTGCACTTAATCAGGAGACATCAGACTTACTTAATAAAAGCTTGCATGATGCATTTACAGACCTCCACTCTCACGGACTCTTTCTGAAACATGTCCAGGAATGGCAAGAATTTCTCCTAGGAAATCAAGGAAAACAGAGCACTAGGCTCAATTCGATGCATCGGAATGAAGTTGCACAGTCTTTGGCACACACAATTACCTTTGGAGCAAGTCTCATGGAAATCTTTATAATTTATATTGTTGTACTTGTTTTCCTAGTATGATTTGATTGCTCATTAGTAGCCTATGACTATCACTCAGTGTTGCATCTTATGATTCTTAATGAATGTATTTTATTTTTTCTTACGTACACTGAGAGCACATGCATCAAGACAAATTCCTCGTGTGTCCAAACATACTTGGCCAATAAAGAATTCTATGCTATTCTTTTTTCTTTCTATTCTATTTTCTATTCTAATTATTCTATTCTAATTATTCTATTCTATTTTCCTTGTTCTGTTCTGTTCTATTCTTATTCTGCATTCTATTCTATTCTATTATTTCATTTCATTTCATTCCATTCCCTATTTCTATTCTATTCTATTCTATTCTATTCTATTCTATTCTATTCTATTCTATTCTATTCTATTCTATTCTATTATTTCATTCCATTCCATTCCATTCTATTCCTGAATTCTGTTCTGTTCTATTCTATTCTGATTTTTAGCCTATCTTATTGTATTCTAATTTTATTTTGCATTCTATTCTATTCTATTCTATTCTATTCTATTCTATTCTATTCTATTCTATTCTATTCTATTCTATTCTATTATTCTATTCTAATTCTATTCTACTCTATTATTTCATTTCATTCCATTCCATTCCCTATTTCTATATTCCTATTCTATTCTATTCTATTCTATTCTATTCTACTCTACTCTACTCTACTCTACTCTACTCTACTCTACTCTACTCTACTCAACTCTAATCTACTCTATTCTAATTCTACTCTACTCTATTATTTCATTTCATTCCATTCCATTCCTTATTTCTATTCTATTCTGTTCTGTTCTGTTCTACTCTACTCTAAAATCAAGAGACAGTGATGTCAGCTTTCTTTAAATGTGCCCCGAGACCCAGGTTAGAGGGCAACAATCACTTGTTCAATCGAACCCAAATATACACAGGTAGTCCTTGACTTACAGCCATTCGTTTAGTCACCGTTCGAGACTACAGCAGCACTGAAAAAAGTAACATGACCATTTTTCACACTTAGGACTGTTGCAACATCCCTCCCAGTGGTCCACGATTCAAAATCCAGACACTTGGCAACTGACTCCTATTTACAGCGGATGTAGTGTCCCGGAGGGGCGGCCTTCTGACAAGAAAAGTCGAAGGGGAAGCCAGATTCACCATGTGAATCTGTGTTACTAACTTAACTGCGTTACTAACTTAACAACGACAGTGATTCACTTAGCAACTGTGGCGAGATAGGTCGTCAAGGGGGGCAAAACCCCACTTAACAACGGTCTTGCTTAGCAGTGGAATTTTGGGCTCAACTGTGGGTCGCAAGTCGAGGACTAACTACTAGGAGACAGGCATGACACTCCCTGTATCTGGAAAGTCAACGGTTTTCCAAATTCGGAGGGCATGAACACCAGCTAGCTAGAATTCCTTGACTCTGGGAAGAGAGCCAGTTTGGCTGTTGGAGCTCAGCTTAAATAATCTGAAAGGAAAGCCCAACATAGGCAGCATTTAAGAGTTGTATGAATGAGATTTGCTTTCATTTTCAGGTTTACTCATCTGACTTCCGGCTAATCTCAAATAGTCCCCAGGAGAAAGTGCGCGTTTCTTTTAGACAGAGGGAACCCAGGATCCTTGTGGTCCCGAAGAAGCTCACCAATGAAAAGAGAATGGCGAAGTCATGGAGATAGGTGATGACCTTCTGAATCATTGACTGAAGCTGAGGTCAGAAAGGAGAAGGAAAAGAAAAGAAAAACATCCAGTAAGAACACGCTCCCTTTTTATCAACGCTGACGTTCATTTCCTTTCATTTTACCCCACTGCCCCTGTCCTGTCCTTCAAGCATAAATACTGCCTTGAAAAATAGCCATCAAGTAAGTCGATTTTATTCCATGCATACACACACATAGCCCAAACACACACAGACCCAAACTCACAGAGACCAAAACATACATATACACACAGACCAATACACACACAAACACACTCAGAGA